CAGCAGTACATTTGAAGTTAAATCTACTCTTGGTTTTCGTACCAAAATAAAGCTTTTTCTAAAAAAAACGATTGAGAAAGTTAGTCGTTCTTACTATCTGAATGTTTTGCAACGACCACAAAATGTTTTTCTGAATTACTTTCTCTGCTAAATTTCAGTGATCTGAAATATATCGAATAATGCAAAAAGAATTCAGTTCATGCATAGTGTCTGAAGATAACAACTGATTTTCTTAGAAACTAATATTGGAGCAGATTGGACTTTATAGAAATTTCACTTTTTAAAACTCTTGATTACAATGTCACAGGTAGGTTTAACAAATTTTGTCATATTTGGTATTGGTAGCGTTCGGTACACTACATTTTGGTCTATTTATATTTCAATTTCATCTCTTCATGTAGTTTAAAATAATTCAGAAGTGTTTGTTTCAAAACTTTTTCTCGTTTTGAGTTTCGTTCTAGAAAAAAAAACTTTCTAGTTCAGAGATTGCTCTTTCTAACAAAAAATTTTGATTAATTTAGAAGTCAGCAATATGGTACAATTAAGAGCGAGGATCTATCTACGAGCTGAATTTTAGTTCGAAATTCTATTATTTGTTTCTTCAGTAAAATGATTAGAACATAGCTCTAAATGTCTACAAGTACGAACCCTTCTAGGTTTTCTAGCATTACCAAGACTTCCTTGTGAGCTCAAAAGGCAGATTACAGTTGCGGTAGTTCTCTCGTTATTAAAATAAATAAAATCTTTCATCTTATTAAAGATTTCTTGAAACTGTTTAGACGATTTTGAATAAAAAATATTTCATACATTTACTATAATGCTCAATTTATGTCAAACAATGTAAATTTCCTTCCACCAACAAAGCAATAAAATTTATCAATTGATCTATTTTCGTTATTCTTAATAGTTTAAATTCTATTATGAAAACTATAAAGATTAAAAGTTGTCTCTTATTCTAATTTCAATAGACATTTAAGACAGATGTATTCTACAAAACATAACATACAAATCATTCGCATGAATTACAAACGATGTTGTTATTGAACCCAATGCGGATACTTTTGCAAATCGAGATAAATTGTAAATTTCTTGAGCCCGTGAACCATTAATACAGCAAATATTCTATGAAAATATAATAAGAAAAACATGTATCTTTTATATATATATATATAGAAGACAAAAAACTTCACATACCATTGTTGAAGATTTTGCTTTTAAATAATAATAAATTGATGCTATGTTTATTTTTTCTTTTTCTGGTGAAGTTTTTAGACAAAGAACAATGCGACGTCGTCTTTCATCTAAATAAATATAAATATTAAATTAAAGAAAATTATGTATTCATTTTGTTTTTGAACCTTTTGAATTTGGATCAAAACCTTTTCCATGTTCATCCGTTGATGGAATATATTTTGCAAAAAGATCAGCAAAATCCGGACGAACTTGAATAAATGCAGCTGGTGGTTGTGATTGAAATGAAAAAAAAAACGATATGATGTCTGAATAAGCTAATTTTATATTAAGATTAGCATAACATTCGCCTAAAATTAAAATTATTTGTTAATTTTTAACTTTCATTTTTTTTTTTTAATTTACTTTTAAGTTTTAATTCAAATTCTGTTTCTTTCATCAGAATAATTTCTGATTCAACATTAAATTCTATAATACCAAAACGAACTGCTGAACAACCAAGTTCATAATTTTTTTTAATTAGTTCAGAATGTTTTATTGTTAATTCTGGTATACGCATTATATCTTTACGTTGAACGATCCAATCGGATGCTTGAGATGTTTCAATATTATTATCACCATTAACTAAACTTGGTGATGGCCGTTTTATAGGACTAGCAACAGGTATACTCATTTTATAATTATTACCATCATCGTCATCACTCAAACAAATAACTATAGAAAAAAAAAAAAATAAATCATATTGTAATACAAGATATAGAAAATACCTTCTGGTGGTGTTTTGGATTTTTTAGCCATTTGTCCGTTTGTTATTATTAGTGCATGATCACTTCGCTACAGAAAAAAAAATATAATATTTTCATTTGATAAGGTGATTGTTTCTCTTTACTTTTCGACTACTATAAAAAGAAATTGGTGGGTTTTCCTTTGTTGACGACAGTTCGGCAGTTCGAATTTCTAAAGTAGAAAACTTAGATGTAGAGTTTCCAGAGAAAAAAAAACAATCTTACGCAAATGAAGAGAGTATTGAATTGAATTTGAAGACAGTTTTCTGAGAATGATGTATCAAACTTCCAGTATTGTACATTCGAATAAAAACAAACATACGAAATTTTCTATTTGACTCGATCGATACAAAGGACTGACCAACTATGACTCATCCAATAATGTTCTTGGTTGATGTTTATCAACAGATGGCGTACTATATACAGATTGCAACGATAAGATTATTATTATCTTGTGCGAAATATAATTTTCATAAATATATTTTCAAAGTATGTGCCATAAAATGAAGCTTATTGAAAATCTTCATGAGACAAAAAAAAAAGAATTGATTGCATTTTTCTGGAAAATGTTACTGTACAGAAGTGCTTTGCTTTTATTCAATATCATTGTACTAGAAAAATTATGAATATAATTTCATCTGAATGTAGGACGATTATAAGTTCAACAAATATACGTACAATACTTGTAATTTAACTTGTCTTTTTACAAGTATATTTCTCCATGTATTTGTACTTACGTTTTAAAACAGTACTTCGTATTTTTACTTGATGTTCAAATATAATAAAAGCAGAAATCGATAACGATCGAAAATGCTTTCTTCAATAAATTTGATTTTTTTCTATGTCAAGCTATCATAATAGGTGTCGAAAAGGAAGTTCTGATAGAATAGCCATTTAGTAACTCTTTTTATCTATTCATATCATGAACAATAATACTATTTTCATATTGTTCAATAGCACATTTTACGTGTTACAAAATAATATAAAAACATGCAGAAACAAACAGTGGTCACAAAAAGAAATCCAAAGAAAACTATACTCAACACATGATTTTGTATTTTTTTTGTCTGATATTTAGTAGATTTTCATTAAAAAAAAATACGGTTTAAATAAAACTAATATGATATTCTGAATCAACATTCAAAACTGAGTGGATTTATATCTATTTCAAATATTCTCACAATTTCTTTGTTTAGAAATTCATTCCTGGTTGTCTTCAACATCCAGTAAAAAAATGAGTTGATAAAAAATAATTTTGACAGTGTAAATTAAGTTCTTAGGCTATATGACGATCGCAGAACTCCAAATAGCAGATGAATAAACAATAAAAAAAGAGTTTTTATGAAATTAAATTTGTGATCCAACCTTTAGGGAAACTACAGGTAAATTTTTCGACGAAAAGAACAAGTTGTGAAAATTCTTGAAACACATTCAAGTTTACTCTATTGTTGATACTGATTCAGAAAATCATATTAGTTTTTATTCTAGCCGTATTTTTCTAACCAAAACCCACTAAATACACAGCAAAACAATAACAAAATCATATCGCGAACATAGGCTTCCTAGGATTCTTTTAGGCCAATGAGTGATAATATGAGACAATATTGACACACAATTTCAGTAAACAATCTGGGCAATGCTCGAAATTAGAGCACATGAAGACTAGCTGCTCCATTTGAGACCAAATCGAACAGTGTTTTTTCCATGGTATTTTTATACCATGTTGAAACCGTTGAAATGCGATATCGAGCCGTATGAATACTAATCTGATTGGCCTCCGAACTGATACATAAAAACAACTGGCCATTCTCAACAGGCAGATATAGTGTAGATACGGCAACCATTGAATAATTCTTGCAGGGACCACTTTGGGATATCTTGATTGAGAGTTTAAGACGACAAAATTCATATTTCTGCGGAGAAAATTATTTCATCACTTATCGATTTCTCTTTTGTCTTTAAAGTTATCTACCCCTAATAAGATTTTCAAGATTACAGTGACATCATCTGATCAGAAAGTAAACGACAATAAAAATATTTTAATCGAATTTTTTCCTCTCGTATTCTGATAGATTTACTGCAGGATATTTGTAAAAGTCATCTGTTTTTATTGCTCGAGTTTCTATAAAACTATGATAGATATCTATAAATGGCAATTCATGTTCGGCTTATAATCATACATAAATATAGTTCTCAATGGCACTAAGAATCATCTACGTGGATTCAGATTCATGCTCCATGAGTCTCTACAGATTATTGTTTTGCTGAATCTGTGAATCATTGATAGGTTTTTTTAAATATTGAATGGTACAATTTTAATACGGAATGTTGATGAAAGGTTTCTTGAATTTATCTTAGACTTCTTTAAAAGTTTTGATTAAACCATAATTCTTTATAGCAATATTGAACTTCAAATAAATACAGTTTATTAGACATATTTTGATATGTACCTGATAATTTTAAAAAACTAATACGTTTAAAGTGAACATGTGCTTTAACAGAAACTTATAGAATCATCTGAAAGTTATCTAATCTATCTGGATGATTGATCGTTTCTAAATTGAACATCTTTCACTCTTCGTGCAGCAAGTTGGAAATATAAACAACCACTTTATATTAAAATCACAGATTTTCAAAAATAAACAGAAATTCACAATTCATCTTAATTTTTATTAAATTCATCTATATATTTTGTAAATGGGCATACTTAATCGAATAATCTTGAATCTTTAACACATCGTTCGTTGGCAGCTATAGTGAAGTGTTCAGGAAAATATTTCAAATATTCAAAAAGACGCTCTATTGTATTGCAAATAAAAGCACGAAGAGCGAGTTTTTGTATTTAAGGATAAATAGTAAATAGTTTTCTCAATTCAAAAGTGTAGATGTCAAGTCCACTTGATGAATACTTGAACTTTTACTCTTGAAAAAGCATGAAAAGTAAAAGTACAAATAATTTCGTCCGAACTCTGATACTATCATACTGCGAAATTTTGATGATGAAAGTAACGGTTGGCTTATAATAAATAAAGATGTTTTGAATTTCAGTTTTTAATCACTGTTACAGTGTATTATAATTACATATACCTCGATTCTATCCATTCTCTTTTCTTTGATATTTTCGTTTCTGTTATATCGCTTTTATTGCTCCTCTTTGTCCTTGATTAACCTTTCTATTCTATTCTACTTTTGTCCTTATTTTGATGTTTGTATATAAACATTGTTTTTTTCAAAGAATAAACAGAGAGAAGAATATATATACCTCTTTAAAAGTGTTCGTCGCTCTTCGTGAGCGCGAACTCTAACATATATGATATAAGTTTTGCTCAAGTACTATCGTATATCGTCAAAACTGTATCAGTTTTGACATTTAATCAGTATTTATTTGGATAATTTCAATTGATTGGCAATCCGGTAACAAACTTCAACAGTAAATATATGTTTAAAAAAAACTAGACTTTTTTCTTTTATTTAGATTAATATGGAGACGATTATAGTCTTGTCAAACACTTGTTGTAATTGGCTGTGTATACAAAAAAAATTTACTTTCACAAAGCAGTATGCATTGAATAATTTGTCTGATTAAGAAGTATTATACTCATCAGATAAAGGTGAAACGATGTCGACAATATATAATAAAGTATATTAGTATCATTACCAATATTTAATAATTAAACTCGAAATAGTTTTGATTGATTGTATTATTTTATGATGTAGCAGTTTCGGCTACTAGATTCTTATGTTTAAATACATGCTTTAGCTAGTACCAGAGATGTCCATCGCGCCGCTGCCGCTGCCGCGCCACTGCCGCGATGGCCTGTGGCGGCAGCGGCAGCGGCAGGTTTTTTAAAAAATCACCGCGGCAGCGGCGCGGTAGCGGTAGATTTTTTAAAAATCATCGCGGTAGCGGCAGGTTTTTTAAAAGACCATCGCGGCAGCGGCAGGATTTTTTTGGGGAACATTGAAAAACTGCATGAATTTAATAGAATTTCAGGGTTTACAAATGAAACACCCCGAGACTGAATGAATCTGATGGACTAGTACCAATATCTCTGGTCAAATATAGTCGCAGCAGTGAAATTAGAAACACTTTTTTGTAAACCGCCGCGGCAGCGGCGCGGCGGCGGCACGTTTATTTTATAATTCATCGCGGTAGCGCCGCGGCAACATTTTTTTATAAACCGTCGCGGCGCGGCTGCGGTGCGGCAGCTTTTTTTTTCTAAGGCCGCGGCGCGGCAGCGGCAGATTTTCAGCCGCGATAGACATCTCTGGCTAGTACTCATAACGGTTTATATACGTCTCTTTCATTAGCTTTATTTTGTTTGTTTTCGAATAAATACTATCTGTTCTAACGAAATGATTTATCTTCCGTATTTACAATTCTAAATAAATTTTATGCCAAAGCTGCACGTTTGAATTTTTTTGTATATGCTGTTAGAATAAAGATTTTCATAAAAAAATATTCAATAGATCGACATATAATGATTTTACTAACAAGAAAAAGATTTAAATAAAACTCTGATAGGAAACTATGAACATGAGTCGATTTCTTTTACAACAAAAAACACGAAAGCTCATTAGTATGATTTTTATCTTCATGTTCAGCAGCGACATCTGACACATATTATTATTACTGTAGTCGTAGTGACGAAATAGTTGATGACTGAATATGCCATAGCCATATAATCGTCAATTCAACTACGCCCTTTTTTTATTTACTTTTGCAATGGGTGATATCGTTGGAAGTTGGCAAGTTGCGCTCTCAGATGGCATTCATAAAGTTGAATTTGAACAGTAACTAACAAAGAAAAATTTTTACATTGTTTTATATCTTATTTGTTATATTCTTAGTGGTACAACATCTGGTAAACGTATAGTTCGTGTTGATAATAAAGAAGTTCTTCGTCATGATTGGCTGTTTAAACTTGTTGGTAAAGAAACTTTTAAAATTGGTAAACATCAATGTACTATTCATATTGAAGCTGTTAGTGGTTTTGCTTATGAATATTCACT